GGGGCAACAATAAAATGTCATATTTATATGATTTTTGATATAATAATTATTATTTCCTAATAACTATTCTTTAGAATTAATTTTCATTTTGAACTTTTTTTCCGGAATAATATACTAGCAGTAAAATATAATTACCATGAGTACCCAAAATTTCCAGAGCGAAGCTCATGCCTGTAAAGGCACTCTTAAGAGCTGTTCCACAATAGAAAATAATGATCATGTGCCAGCAGAATCAGAAGCACCACTTTCTCGACCTGATAGCCCAGAAAACTCGGAAAATTTCGAGCTAGAGATAGAGGAAGAAAATAACGGGCATTCTACCGCCAGGGGTTTAAAGCTTTTCCTCAATCACAGATTTCGGAAAATGGAAAAACCGGTCAGTTACTCCGATACTTTGGTGGTGATTATTTAACAGGATTACCAACTCGTGATAATATAGTTGCAGAAAATGATGAGGGCTTGTCTGCAATTCTCAATAATGCTTTAGCTAAATGAAAAGAGATTTCTTTCATGGCTATCGATTTTGAGAGTTCATCAGAAAAAATAGGCGAAAAAAATCATTATGTTTTACATCTTTACGGCTGTCTCATCAATGGTCAAAAAGCAGTAGTTACTCTTACAGACATCCAGATTTTCTTTGATACACTTGTACCGATAATGAATCTATATATGACTTTGAAATAAAAATAGATGAAATTCTTTGTAATACTGTAAACGATTATAAAATAGAACATATTAAAGTAAAACTTCTTTCTGGCCAGTTTTTTTAGCCTTGTCAAATAAATGGGCCAAATGCAATGCGGAACCTGGAGTTGAATCATCTCCACCTAGCATGTTTTCAAGAATTTGTCTATCAGGTATGGAATTCGAAAGGCTTTTCTCGTTAATAAATGTAGATAACTTACATATTAAACCTTTTTCAACCTTTTGATTATAGGGAATTTTTGTTTTGGAAGAAATAGCACTTTGTTCCTGATTGGATGAAGAGATAATAGACGATTTAGATTCAGAAGAAGAAATTTTTGTATCTTGAATATTTAGATCTTTATTAAGTAATGATTTCTCTGCTTCGGGTATGGAAACATTCTTATTCGGTGATATTGAAATCTTAGGGATAGTATTCTCAGGGGTTGAGAGTAACTCTTGATCCCGGAGTTTCTTCTTCTTAATGTTCTGAATTATCTCTTTTCTAACCGTTTCTCTATGCTTTGAATCCAGAAATTCATTTTGCGAGTCAAATGATATGGTTTCTGCGGGAGATGTTACCGAATCCTGGTATATGTCAGAATTGCTGAAACCAGTCACTTCGTGGCTAGATGTGTTAGACTTCTCATTACATGAGATTATCTGTTCAGAAGTACCATTAGAACTTGTTTCATAATCTAACGAGTTGGCATTAGTATCGATGCACTGGTTCTGTTCCAATTTCACTACTCTGTTTCTAAGCTCTTCGTTTTCTTTTACTGATCGTTCTACTGTAATTCTAATATTCTGGTATTAAGTTCAGCGTCTCTTAACTTTGTATTTTGAGCATCTTCTTTTATAGTTTGTTCTAATTCTACAACCCTAGCCAAGAGCTCGGTATTTTTACCTATAAGTGAATCCTTCTCTCTCCTAAGCTTATCAATTTCGGTTACGAGCCCGGAATTCAATTCTCTCAATGAGGAGTCAGAGACTCGAGTTTCCAACTCATCGTCTTTAGATTGCATATTTAATATCAATTTATATACAGTAATTGTGTCGGTATACGTCTTGAAATATTTTATTGATTTATGCCTTTAATTTTAAATAAAAAATCCCGTGGCGTGAAGATTCTTCACGCCGATCACTTTGCCAAGAAAAATAAACACAATTTATATATTTACGAAAATCTTCATTTAACCCGTGATGATTAGACCTTCTTTGAGGTATCTGACGACTACCCAATCAATTATAATGTGTTATTCTATATCGGATAATCTTTAGTTCTATTTCAGGTGTTAAATCTATTTTGGGTGTATTATGACTCGTCGAGTCGCCCCCTACCGGCCAGCGGAGCAATGAGGTTTCACATCTACAATCATATCAATATGACAAGTCACAGACACGAAGCGTCATTATCATTATTCCATAATAGGTCCTAATTTTCCGGGCCGAAAAGTAATGTGATACAGTAAACGAATCATGTTAGTGCCGATCCAGAATTGCTGATCACGGGCTAGCTAAATTTCGATTCCCAATTCATTAACTGATAGTTGGTCGAATCTATAATAAAACTACGTATTAATTACTTAGAACGAAATCTAAGAAACCAATGCCGTGATAACATAGAATAAACCAGATATAATTCGTGTTAAGAAACGGGATATGCAAGAAACTAAGCTAATTCATCTTTGTGAAATTAAGATATGGGTAATTATTTTTGAAGGCGACAAAAATGCTAGATATGATTTTTTCAGATCCGACTTTTAAACAATACATATATAGTATAAATTTTAGGATCACCCCAGAAAATTTCCGGTCCGCCTTCGAAAATAATTACCCATATATTGATCGCCTTTACCGTGAGATATAATAGAGCTAGTGTTTGAGGCATAGTTTACGAGCTACATACATAAAATGTGCGTTTTCTCAAATTTGTGCATCTCCCAAATAAATCATAATGTACTCATTATCACGCATAAAAAACTTTATTTACTCTTCTATTATCTGGTTCGATACGTACGATAGAATTGGTTTCGAATTATCAAGAAATCCAGTACAATTGGATTAGGGAGAAGTTGTCGGTAAGTTGTAGCTTCAGGAAACGCATCGTGATACAAACAATCAAGGGAAATGTTGATGACACATTGACCGGGTTGAATATTTGTAGGGTTCCCATTTTTGTCATGGGCACCGAATTCAAATTAACAATTAAACTTCAGGTTAGAAATTTGACACAATGATAAAAAAAAATGAATATTCTTTGTTTATGACATTACATAAGTCCGAGTCTGGATATCCAATGATCTTCTGACTCTGTCCCTGGCACAAAAGTGCCATGCCTAGTAGGTTAAATTCTTTAAGATGACTGGTAGACAATGTGTACATTAGGAATATAACTTACTTGCATCCGTAAAGGAGCTTGATCTTCTTCAGGAGGTTTATCAATCTTAACCACGATCACCTCGTGGCAACGACTCCAATTGTGTAGCCAGAAATCTTTGACTTTTTCAAGAACATGTAATTCGCTCTCAGAATACGCCACTTCGGTGACGATATTCGGCCAGGGCTCGCCCTAAAATCGTGAAACTATGAAATCTTAGTTCTGAAGAGTTCCGAGTCAATAAAAGAAGGTATATTTCCATCACTTCCATTTGGTGGTCGCACTCGTGGTTTTTCGGGGCGAAAAGATGCATCCCCTTCTTTCCCAGAATCGTCGGCGCGAGTTCCTTAAGAAGAACAAAGATTTGTTTGATATCACAAATATAAGGTTGGGACAGTTAATGAATTGATATTTACGGATCGCACAAAGAGGTAGTATACTGCCATCAGTTCCATACACAGGACCACATTTCATCGCTATATCCGTAGAGATTGCACCAATAAGACCTTCGTGTAGCTTTAATGGAAGTTCATAAATAATGACTTTATAATCGACCCATTCCCAACAACCATGAACGTTAAATTTGTCCGAACGCTGTTCATATTCCTCCAAGGTGACACCAACAGCAAGTGTGTACGGAAGTCTTGATACGAGTATCAAAAGTTAGCTTTTATCTCACTAGATCATAAAAATAGCAAGTCAACTTCAAAACAAGCTAGGAAAGGGACTCACGTTTCTTCTTCCCATTTTGCCTTTGGATTAAAGTCGCCTTTTTCCCACCACAGGGTTCGATAATAATGGTACTCTGGCATTCTTTTTGGAACGACATCAACGGTCTCGCTAAAGAATAGCTCTGGAAATTAACTAAAAGATTAGATAAATACTAGTTACACGTATTTACTCACACAGTGGTATGAGTGCTGGCGCTTGCTCCGCTAACATTGCTAGAAATTTCCATCTGAGTTTGTATATGTTGTCATTTTAGTTTGAGGAAGATAGTTGCAAGCGAAAGTGAGTATTTTTATAAAAGAAATTCTTCCCACGAGGCAAAGCAACAAACGGAATTTATCAGGCTAGTGATTGTGTCACGATTATCGATTGATCGGATTGTTAAAAAATCACGAGCCCAAGTAACAATGAAGCTAGCACGGCTAAAATCTATTTCTCTTTTCAGCCAGTACCGAAATATATAAAACTAAGAGGTCTCGCTAATACAAATATAAAAAGCTTGAATCTAGCAAGACTGCATGGGAGGGAAAACTGGTGCACCAGTGGAAGTCAGCTCCAAAGCTTGCCCGAAAGCGATGACTACCCCCTATTCTCTCGTCCTGTTAGGTCCAGCGCTATCACTATTTTCCTCCTCTACCTCTGTATCTAACTCCCTCTCATTATCTACCCATAATCTAATACATTCTATAGTTTCTTCCGTCGGATTTCTAGTAAGACACTTGTGGAATTTCCGGATAGTCGCATCTCCAAGACGCTGGCCCAGCTCCCTTATTTCTTCTGAAATTTTGGAATACATTGATGACTCGGTTCGTTTTTCTAGTCTGCATTTTTCTTTGAATAGACGATCGAAATCTTGCCAGAGGGTTCGAATATCGCCGGTGTAATCTTGAGGCAATCTATTAGACCCGAAGCGTCGAGAACCGGAATTACTATCGCGACCGCCAACGCCATTTTTGATGTCGCGAACTTCATAGCCCATCAGGCTTATATTTTGGTCGAGATCGTTGATTTTTTGTAGCAAATCGGTATTAGCGCTTGAGTTTCGCTGTGATCTTTTGATAGCAGACAATTCCGCAGTTATACGGTTTTCCACTCTTCGAGTATTTAGGTATAATACTAGTGATTGAACTAGCATGAACGCGACGAACACGAAAAATCTGAATTGTTTGAGACCATTTTTTGCGTATTATGTTTTGAGTAATTTCACGTTTTGATCTTGCAGAACAAGGAATATGTAATTGTTGTAGTGCAATTTGCGTTCTGAGTTGTATTGTAAGAAATTTAATAATACATAGATATAACGAAAAAAAAATTATAGCTTCGAGTTGTGGCGACCAGGCTATAGGTATTACAATTTGGTTTATATTTTTTAGCATATTGCTTAAGCTAGAATTAATATATGCTCTGGTTCTAATACGTCTGCCTTGGTGAATGCATCATATAAGGCATTCGGGTTTATGTTTCGAAGGACTAATTTTGAGTGATAGAGGAATCCTGCAAGTATATTATTTCTTCATTACCGAGTTTCTCTGACCCCAGCAAAATTTTAACAAATTACATATAACGAATTCGTTTCAGTTTGCCTTAAGCAGGATTTCTAGCAAGCTTATTTTCCTATTGTAACGGTGTAACGGCGAGTCAGTCGCTAACTCTAGCAGAGATTCGCGTAACCGTTACTGGGGTAATAAATG